TCACGAAATTTGATGTGTAAACATATGTGTACGGCACGGCAAACCATTAGGCGATTGAGTTACATACATAGGTTAGGGTAGAAATTAAACATTAATTTCATTTCATTTTATTCATTTTGCTGATATATAATTTATTTATTCATTTTCCGGTAACACTACCTTATATCAACTCGGCCTGCCAGCATCCTTAGGACCGGGTTATAATGGAAGTAACTGAACGGAGTGAATTGTCACATAATAATGCAAATGTTTATAATGCAATAAATAAATCCTTACGAATTCGCTGCGATTTGTTACGATTCACCCCGTGCATTATAACCAATGCACTATGCACTTTTGTTTGCAAAATGCATTTATTTAAGTTGAAAGAAGACAAATTCCTTTGTTCGGAATTTCTTCTTTCTCGCTTTCTATCTTCCAAGGCGAGAACCTATATTCATGTAGTAACAAGAGTATAAAAACACAAAGCTACCTTACAAACTATACGCACAATTATCACGTTTATGTGTAGTCTAATTCACGAAATCATTTCATAAATTTGAGTAAAAACTCAGTGCTTAAACTCCATTCGCGTATAATTGAAGTCATGATATGCTGTTCATACACTCAGTTTCTACTCGAACGCATAAAATGATATAATGAATTGGTCTACGCATAATGGTAGTCAATGACAACATGAATTACAACAAACACATCATTTTGACATAATGCAAACCTTAAACGTTGCGAACGTGGGTTCACACCGATCCGCAATCAAGTTGGACGTTTTTCCCACAACTGTTTCAATTTTGCGAGCAATCTCATTCTTACAATTTCTTAGCTTACATTTATAAAATTCAACAAAAGCACGTATGTACATCTTTCGGCTGAGTTAACCATTTTGGGTTATGACTTGGTACAACATGGCCATTAATGTAGAGCCGAGTTGTACAACTTGCCAGAAAATCAAAATTTGCTTATCTTTCATTCAACCAAGACACAAATTCATTCAACAGGCCCACAAAACGGTGCAATCTAGAGCAAACCATCACCACGTTGAACGAACGGTCGCTACGTTTATGGCTTTCTTTTAGAAACGCCGGGGCGAAAATTTCAACTGCTCCTGTAACACTACCTTATATGAGTTCGCCTTCGTATCATCCTCACATCGTCGTTTAAAGTACAATACTGCGTATCAACAAAATGCAAAACCGCGTATGTGAGGTTGCATAATTTATTTTCTAGAGAGTAAAAGCACTCATATTTCAAAATGGTTCTCTTTTTTATAAGGCAATAGCATTTCTGGCTAGTATATTTCAGGACGAATAGATAAGGATTGAGCCAAGAGCTTGTGTGAGCAAATCCGATTTTTGGCAGCAAATGTCAGTTACGCGGTTTTGCAGAATGACGATACGCGGTTTTGTACTTTAAACGGCGTTATGTACGTTTATGAGAGTATATAAACGCAAGACGAATTCATACAAGTCGATAGCGGGAGCACACAAACTAGTGTTGGGCAGTATCGATACCAACAGTACTCAGAACTTGATTCTCAAAAGGATCGACAGTACCCGATTTTTAAAGGTATCGATACTGAGTACTCCAAAGTAGCATTTAATTGACGTTATTAATATACTAATTTGAATAAAATCCTGCCAGCTACTAAGATTTCTACACTAAGCATTGAAATGTTACCTACATACATATGTATATTTAATGAAACTATGTACTCAATTCTCAAAAGTACTCGATACTCCCAACACTAACAAAAACTACTCTAACAAATTATACGCACAATAGTTACGTTCCAGGCCGTTCCATGTGACCACCTTCCATAAGGTTTATTAATGGAGAAAACAGCTTTTCCTGCAAATCCTGTAAAACCTGCAAATCGTGAAGCGTCTGGAACGCAACTAATGACAAACATGAATCAATCAATAAATCTCTTGCAAACAACTGGCGAATTTAACAAGGAGATGTCATCGGAATTGGAAATTGTATAAATTAACTTTCGCGCCTTTTTTAATGACTCTCGTATTATTCAAATGTCATTTCAGGTACATACTATGTAGGTGTGTGCAAAGAACATAGCGATGGTGTAACTGCCGGGCCGTTTCAAAAAGTTGGCGATTAATTCACAACGATTTATTAAAGACACGAACCGATAGTTGCACCCTCGAACTTTTACATGTTCTTTTGCATATGTAAACACATGATTATTATCGGAATAAGTCGAATCTTGAGTTGCCATTTTAGTAGTAATAACTTTATTTAAATAACCATATTGAACAGAATAAATGTATTTGTTTATACTATTTTTCAAAGATTTAATTATGGTATGTATACAAAAATTAAAAACTACAGTAAATGTTAAATAATAACCAAAATGGGAATGATCTTAACAACTTCACAGGCAAGAAAAAAATAACCAAAAATGAGTAAAAGTACCAAAACGGCAACACTGCTCAGGCGTGAAACTTTGGCCAAATATGCTGCGAAGTTTTCATCTGGTACTGTCAAATCGCATACACTCAAAAAATACGTCTTCTATTACATCTCCTCCGCAGAAGTCGCACATGCAGGGCCGTCGAGAGAAAACTCGACGACTCGGCACCGGACTGAAAAATCAGGGGCCCCTATACATAAATTGCATTAATTTAAAAGCACGTTTCTTTAATGTATAGAGTCAGATAAAATCAGCACGAATCGGAAGATATTTATAATAAAAGCCTATAACGAAGGAGCAATCACATTGTAAGAAAATAATAACAGGTTACGGTTCTGATATTTCAGGTTCCGGTTCGTGTTTGAATCGGTGAAGGTATGATTTGAATCACCCGTGTCGAGTTAAACAGTTTGTGAAATAGAACTCGACTTCGCCGTTTAGTCTACTTCATTTGCGTGTACATACGGTTTACTCTTCACTATGCGCGCTCCATTTGAAACATTCACGATTGTAATCGTATTGTAATGTATGAAGATATTTGGTGGTACAAATATACTACTACTTTGTCTTTAAGAAGTATGGGTCTATTCATAGTCGCATTTCAGACTTCTACTAAGTAGTTTCGACTTAGTTTACGATATAGCAAAACGAGTGTGAAAATGTATCGATTTTTCTTTACGATATTTTGGAAAAATTACATTATTATTAAATAATATCAAGTTTGATCATCCGTTTATGTAATTTTTATTTTCATTGCCTGATTATGCAAAAGAATAAGGTGTCATTTTCTTGTTAATTGTGGGAAATAGCCAGAACAACCGCAGTGATGTGAAGTCGATGTTTATGGAAAGCATGCTGTGAAACATACAAATAGTAGATATCTAAATGTTATGCACAAATTTACTTTAAAAGAACTAGCGTGAAACTGACTTATTATTTGAGAATTTATCTAAATTATTCCAATTATAAAATTGTGATGTAGCTTTATTCGAATTGTAATACGCATTTAATTTCATCTTCCGATTAAAATGGATCGATCTTTGCAAATTTTAATTGGAGATTATTCAATATTATCAAAATCACCCTCTACCAACTTAATTTTTACATATTTCGTCTGTTTTCCCTTAATTTGATAAAATACTTCTTCCTAGTTACGACTTAGTTGCAGCTGCAGCCGAAACAAAATTTTAAGTTGGTACTTAGCCAGAAAAGTCGAAACTAAGGCGACTATGAATAGCTTTAGTTGTGACTTAGAATAGTTTCGATTTAGTTGAGTACTAAATATGACTATGAATATGCACCAATGACTTACGCGAAATCCAGTTAAGAAGATGACGATGACAACCTTTATATGTATAGTAAAACTATTATAGTGCTCTATTAGTGACTTCAACTAAGGTCAGAATTAAGAGAGCTGCAAATGTTGGATCCGGCTGCAGACCGGCCCTGGCCTGGAATTCAGATGATCGCATCCGGAACTTGCAGTTTTAACATAGTTATAACTATAAAGTACAGTTTTTAGACAACTTAACAAATTTAAGGTTTTGCCAAATTTCAGATTAAATCTAGCAAATTAAAAGATTTCTTAAAATCTTTTTGCAAGCCAGTTTTTAAAATAAAAAGGAGCGATGAAGGTGCAGCGTCTCCTCTTTTGAGAAAAATTGTTTCAGTTGTCCTTCGCATTTCAATAGTCATAGCAAGTGTGGACAGAATATTTTCCCAAATCAGTTCAAATAAAACAAAAAAAATAAAAATAAATAGATATTCCAGTGCTTTGCTCGATTTCAAGAACCAAAGATCCGAGGTATCAAATCAAATTTATAAAAAAAAAAATAAAAATCAATTTTCGAAACATTATTAAATTGAATTTCCTCAAAATAAAATGTGGTTTAAGTGTTTTCTTTTATAAAGATGGTTATTGTTTATTTACTTATTATTTAAACTGGTTCTTAATTAACTTTGTTTTTTGTACGTTAAATTGTTTTGTTGAAAAAGCAGGTATCAGCTGTTTTTCAAATTCTGGGTACCATTTTGAGTGCGAATTTTCCGTTTACTCTCTAATTACCGGATCCAGTCCGAATTGCAATAAAGCGATATATATGGCCTTATTTCCAATTTGTTTTTGAAAAAAACAATGACTTTATTTGTACATAGCTCAGTGGTTAACGCTTCTGACTTTGAACATCGAATTCGCAAGTTCGATCCCTGCTGAAGTCTAGAAAAAGACGTCTGATGAGGAGATGTGGTGATCTCCGAAATAGTGCTATAACTTCTACCGCTTAGACTTTGTTGCTTTTTCAATTTTTCCTAATAAACAATCGTGGCACAAAGCTCAACAAAAATATTAAAAAAAAGACTTTATTTTTAATTCAGATCTCGAGTAAAGTCATATTCAACATTTTACAAATGAGCAATAAAGGCATTATTTGAAATTACAATCTCTTGAACTAAATTACATGTATGGCAAATCTGTTCGTGAATCACCCGTTTTGGAAAATAATGG